CTTTACCTATTTAATTGTAGTAAATTTCTTTGCCATACCTTTTTGTGGCAACCAAATGGCATCATTGTTTCACTAATTAAACTAGAATGCCTAATATTAGCTCTGGAAATTATTCTGAGCTCTGTATTCTCCTCTGTTTATAGGCTTTGTCAACGGAATCAATTGAAAGGCTCCCTGTGTATAATAAATCAGCTTGGAAACATTATAAGGCAAACCATGAAGCAGATGACTGGTGTGTGCCAAGCAGTGAACCGAAGGACATGACCACTTTCCGAAGTATATAGTTGTCTGGAAAAAATAAACATAGCTTTGTTTTCAAGGGACTGTACACAGCTGGCTTATATCAAGTATTTGAACCATATTTGGTGTATGAAGATCATTTTTAGTATGGAATAATACGAAGTTGAATTCAGTAATTTGTCACAACTGTTTTAAGGAATTAGATTTGCTTTTGTCAAATTAGCTAAGTGCACACTTAGTTTGCTCCTCCTGGTACCTTCAATTGACTTCAGTAGCTAAAACTGGGAAGCAGTAATTTGTAGGTTTTGGGGGGACCAAAACTACTACTTGCACACCTGGTTTGAATTGTACAATTCATAATTAATAATGTTTCCATTAGGTGAAAACTGGTCAGAGAAGATCTTTCATTTTATTATGTACTACTGAATGAAGTTCTTAAGTGATGTGAATACTGATGTATGAAACAAAAGTGTGTAAGCAGTGGTCCCCAAGTTTCACTGGCCCATGGGTGACAATACTGGGCGAGTAACATATTGGAAGCAATCAGTGATGTAACTGAGGTGGGGCAACCATTGTGTACACTTGATGTTGGGGGGAGGGGCCAAGAAAAAAGTGGCTGCTACTGGCAGCTATGAGGTTGCAAGTGCAGTGGCAAGTAGAAGTTGTCGTTGCCCCTATGCCATGGGTGTCTGGTTGTGTGCCTATGCTACTGCTGGCAATATGCTTTGCTTATTCTTTCTCTCAACCTGTTTTTATTCTTTTTAACTTCCTGTGGCTGAGAGTACTGGTGAAAGGCTTCATGGATAATATGTTGCCTGTAACCATGCCTTGGGGACCACCAAACTGAAGTTCTTAATAAATTTATGGACTATGCTATAATTTTTGCACTTACATAGCACCTTCTATCCAGTGAGCCTAAATAAGTTGTGAACCTGAATTTAGTAAAATTTAACAAATTTTTTGTATTTAATATAGCAATTTCAGTAGAAAATCATGTGTTTCACTGATTTCTGTAGCTATCTGAACATAAATTTTACATATGGCAGAAGTAGCAGAAACATTCCGTTTGTCAAAGTAGCACCTATAAGCTAAACTACTCTCTGGGTATACCTGTTTGCAGCTTGGATACACTTATATCTCAACTCTGGAAATTACAACTCTAAATTGGATTTCTGTAAAGAAGAAAAAGCATAGCAGTAGCCACTGATAATCATCTCAGGTATGTAGTACCAGTTCTTCTGGTATGACTGTGTTTGACTATTTGAATGGCCATATTGGGTGCCTGTATACACCATGGGTTTTAATCTTCATTAAATTAAATAGGTTTATAAAATTTAAACATGTTAATTTTGGAGCGTTGCATCTGTGTTTACATAAATTAGGTTTTCAAACGAATTAAGCCGGGTCCCTGGCCAGCACCACAGGAGAGCGGGACCGTCCAGTGCTCCAGTGCTGCCCTGCCAGTGTGGGACCCCCCCCCCCCCCC